AAGATCGACTTTCACACAAGATCGACAATTGAATTAAAAGTGACAATTGTGACAAGTGACAATAAAAACAGAAACAATTTCGTCTTAATTAGGACACAACTTTCACACAATGAGAGGAAAGCAGTAAAAAAAAGAAAGATAACAAAAAAACAAATGAACAACAATTGCTTGCAACAGCAGCAACAGTTGCAACAGCAGCAACAGTTGCAACAGCAGCAACAGTTGCAACAGTTGCAGCAGCAGCAACAGTTGCAACAGCAGCAACAGTTGCAACAGCAGCAACAGTTGCAACAGCAGCAACAGTTGCAACAGCAGCAACAGTTGCAACAGCAGCAACAGTTGCAACAGCAGCAACAGTTGCAACAGCAGCAACAGTTGCAACAGCAGCAACAGTTGCAACAGCAGCAACAGTTGCAACAGCAGCAACAGTTGCAACAGCAGCAACAGTTGCAACAGCAGCAACAGTCTTTAGCACAAGATACTCAGCTAACAAGCTAGAAAACAATAAATGATTTGGGGCGCGAAAAAGGAATAAAGGCGCACCGATTTCCTCAATACTTTCCCAATTTTAGGCTGTCAGAGTTAGATAACTTTTAGTGGATATTCGCCACACGTTTATATCCATACAGGAAAAATCGTTTTTGAGATTTTCAACATCACATAGCGCTTTTTCAAAGCTATGTATGATAGTGTCAGAAGAGATGGAAAAAAAAAACTTTTGCTGACCAAAAATGCTGCTTTTTGGTAGCTCATTCTTTTTCTGATTCCGCTTTTTGTATAATTTGCATTGGCTTCGTTTACCATCCATTTTTTTCCCCATTAATATCCATAACAAAATTTCAGAAAAAGGTATTTTTTTTTTTTAGCGAAAACCGCTCTTATCTTTGGAAATTTAGGGTAAAGGCCAGATGGCCGACCGGTTAGAAGTCTTGTCTTTTAAGCGGAAGGTTGTTTATTGTTTAATTTTAATTGTTTTAATTGTTTTATTGAAAAGCTTGATATAAATAGTCAAAGATTTAGCCTTAGAAACTAAACTTTATAAAATTAATTTTATTGGGTTGATGCATAATTATCCGGACTTCTTTTATAAATGATTTTATTTAACAAAAAAATAACATAAATAGTTAGAAAAATATGTTTAATTGATTATTCTGGAGCATATTCACCGCCTACATCAATAACTGATTGCCATTTGCTTGGAAGACGATCGATTCCACGAGCGAAGAATAAACGATCTTTGGAGGCAATCCACGCTTTAACATCGTCTATCAAGTCATCCAAATCGTTGTAGATCTTATTTGTTTGCCAATTTTTGAGCGATCGATTGACGTGGTAGTCCGTTGGGGCTTCTCCAGTTCTTTGAGATCGCGAAACGACTCTGCGGCAGACCATCCCTTTTCGAAGTGGTAGAGCATGATATGGCGAAGATGGATATGATTGTCGACACGCATTTTGTTCACTAAAGAATAACGAATATTTAAAAAAAAGAAATAGACAAAAAGCTTTCAAAACAAAAAAGATACAAGCACGCAAAAAGAAGTCCGGATAATTATGCATCAACCCAATATAAAATATAAAATCTATTGATTTTTATCAATTTCTTTAAAGATTATTAAAGAAAGCTTTTGAAAAGTTTCAATTTTCCAATAAAAACTTTAAGCTTTAAGCATTAAAGCGCCAGATGGCCGACCGGTTAGAAGTCTTGTCTTTTAAGCGGAAGGTCGAGGGTTCAATCACGCTGGCAAGATAAAAATGTTTCTTTTTCCCACCAAGTGGGTTTTTTTCTTTCACAACATTTGGGTAATAGGGATAATAGGGGTAACGGCCGCAGTGCCATAAAAATTGTGTATTTAGACCGTTATGTCTTATTATATGTATCCTTTGTTTGTATCACATTATTGGCTTTCAATAAATGTATTTTTTTTTTCTTTTTTTTTAAAAGATTTTCAAAAACGATAAAGTTTTATACAAATTGAAAACGAAATTTTCATTTAAAACTTAAGATTTTTGATTATTTTTATACGAAAAATTGATATTTAAAAGTGTTTTGAGCAAAATATTATTTGTTTTTTTCGTTTTTTTCGTTTTTTTCTTTTTTTTCGTCAAAATTTCAAAAGATAGTTAATATTTTTCAAAACAATCATTCAATTTTTATCATTTTTCTCAATTTTTCCACGAATTTTGGCTGAAAAAAGGAAGTTAAATAATGAAAAGTGAAAAACATTATCGTTTTATCGTTCGTTATCGTTTTATCGTTTTATTCGTTTTATTCGTTTTATTCGTTTTATTCGTTTTATCGTTCGTTATCGTTTTATTCAAAACTACACTGAATTGTGCAGAAAAGTAGCTCTTTTTTTGTGAAATCTTATTTGATTCTTTGATTTTGAATATCTCTTTTCGATCTCGGCCGTACTTCAATGCGATGGCACTCAACAGAGACGAGTGACCAACATGAGATTCCTGCAAGCGGTGATCGACCAAGAGTGCGAGCTGAAGTGTCCAGGTGGGACAAGGATAGCGAGGGTCACCGGTCAACTCGTCTACGTTCCAAACTATGGAAATCGATGGCTCACTGGAGACGCGACGATGAAGGAGCGATCAATGTGGGACGAGTTGAAGGAGTGAGCAATGTGGGACGAGTTGAAGGAGTGAGCAATGTGGGACGAGTTGAAGGAGTGATCAATGTGGGACGAGATGAAGGAGTGATCAATGTGGGATGGGATCAAGGAGTTCGCGGAGGTGACGGATCATCTTCCCATCCTTCTAAGTTTTATTGCCGTAATGCTTCTCTTGCCCAAGTTTCTCAAATTTGTTTTTAGATTGTTTTTTAGGCTTTTTGTGCGCCGGAGTGTGCAGAAAAGTAGCTCTTTTCTGTGAAATCTTATTTGATGCTTTGATTTTGAATATCTCTGATTCTCTTGTCCTTCCTCTAAAGATCTCTAAAGATCCCACTTTCTATGCTTTTCCTTTGACTTTTGAAACACTGAATAAACGATTGATTTATTGTATTTTCTCGCTAGATTAGTGATTTTGCTATTAGGGTGGTGCAAAAGAAACTGCCGATTTGACGGTAAATTTTAAAAAAGATGGCGTTCGATGGTGCCATGATCACAATGGAATATTTTCGCAAGATCTCGAGCAGATTGGCATGGATCGGCCTGAATAACGTCCCTCAGCTTGGCTTCGTTCACGACTTCTGGCCTCGAACCGTGCTCATAATCTTCCAAAGTCTGGTCTCCCTCTCGGAATCGTTGAAGTCAAGTCTGACACTGCCTGAGAGACAAACTGCCATCTCCGAAAGCAGCACAGAGAACGATGTGATTCGGCAGCAGACTTTCCAGAATTTTGAAGTTATCTTATATTATATTTATATTTATATTTTATATTTATATCATTTTGTAGCGAATTCAATTCTGCGTCGATTGATAAGAAATTTGTGAGTTTATTATTAGAAATTGCGGGCACTACAACGTTTCATTCAAAATCGGCGGGAATCCCATAGCTCGATTATGAATTTCAGCCGATTGATTTTCAGCCGATTATGAATGATTGGGTCCAGGGGCATCCAATCAACAAGTATTTGTTATCATTCAACCCAGAATCATTGATAATTATGTTCAATTTTTTAAATTAGCAAGATTTGATAAAAAGGAAAAAAATTAGAGCAAAAAAAAACTATTTTTTCGAGAGAAAACTTTCAAGTCCCGTAATTTTTTTTCTTTTTATCAAATCTTGCTAATTTAAAAAATTGAACATAATTATCAATGATTCTGGGTTGAATGATAACAAATACTTGTTGATTGGATGCCCCTGGACCCAATCATTCGATTCTGGTTGAATGATAACAAATACTTGTTGATTGGATGCCCCTGGACCCACCCATTCATAATCAGCTGAAATTCATCATCAGCTGAAATTCATAATCGGCTACGACATATATATATAGTAATGATCTGATTTGTAAAATTATAGATCTAAATTTTAAAATAGAGATTTGATATTGTTTTGAATTCTAAACAATCAAAAAGTACTTACCAAGATTGAATAATCAGGGACTCCCTGTCTTTTGGGCGACTTTTTCCCCCAAGGTGCCAGGGCCGCATTAGCTCAGTTGGTAGAGCGTCAGACTTTTACGAATCGAAAGCAATCTGAATGTCAGGGGTTCGAGCCCCCTATGCGGCTAATCACTTTTGTTTTTTTCAAAAAGCAATTTATTTGCTTCTTCTGGTCAATTCAAGGTTTTGGCCGTGACTATTCCTTGACTTTGGCTTGGCCTCAGAAATTCATTCTCGGTCCAGCGTGGTTTCACTGATTCACTGACAATTTTCAAGTGGCAAGATTCTATGGGTTCAACAAGATTCCACTCGCCGTCTTTTGGGACCCTTTTTCCCCCACCGAAGCATGGCCGCATTAGCTCAGTTGGTAGAGTCTGACGACTTTTACGAATCGAAAGCAATCTGAATGTCAGGGGTTCGAGCCCCCTATGCGGCTAATTATCTTTTGGATTTTTGCAAAAACTATTTAGAATAGTAAGACTGATATAATGAAAGCTAAAAGAGAGCTAAATGAAAGCTAAATGCTAAATGAAATCGGCTAATCACTTTTGCATTTTTCTAAAATTTCTTAAATGTTCAGAAACAGTAAACAACCCAATGAAGAACTAAACTTTCACTAAAATTTGGTAAGACTTTTCATTGTTTTTCCGTTCTGAAACAAAGTTTTCTAGTTTCCACAGAAATTCCCGTCTACGTTTTCAAAAAGCAATGTTGAACTTGTTGAATTCAAAATTCGATTAAATAAACGGCTTTCATTGTGCATTTTTTGTGTGAGGTCATCACTTATAAAACGCAAAAATTTCAAACAAAAAAGAAATCCAACAATGCAAATTTTCCAAACAACTCAAAGAACGTGATTTTCGGTAAAAACTCACAGGTCAATGGAAGCTTTTGACCAACTTTCGCGTGATCGTTTTAATTGGAATTTCCGCCAACGCGCAAACAATGTTCAAAAAATTCTGTATAAAATGGCCGAATGATGTGAGGGGAAATATTGAAAAGTGAGCTCACTATTCGGGCCACAACAAAACACATTTAAATCCCTCTCTATTCACACCTAAAGGATCTTCGAAAGGAAAAGGTTTGTGGGATTTATGAAAGATATTCAATCAGTTACCGTATACATAGAGAAAACGTTTCTCTTGACTTTTCCTAAATCTTGTCCCTTTTCCCTTTTAAGCCAGACAAAAAGGTGAATAAATTGGATAAAAATCGAGACAAGATTACGGTAGAAAGAGAAAGGACAGAGTTTAAGGAAATGGATTGATGAAGAAGGAATTTCCGTCTTTACAATATTCATAGAAGCATTTTTCCAGCTCAAATTGCAATATAATAGTTCTACTTTTCCTTAAATAAGAGCAATACCGGTGAAAATCCAAAAACAAATGAATCCTATTAGATTCAGCTAATTGAGAAAAGCCCTTTGGGTCGGTTTAATTACCCAAGTTTTGAGTTCTTTGATGCTTGGTAGAGGAAAAACGATCTGGAGAGCAAAATTGAAGAGTTTTTCTCGAAATTCGCCACGATATAGTTTCAGAATGAGGCTGAATATGGACAGAAAAGAATAAAAAAAAAATCACCGTTTGATCTGCTTTGTGCGCTCTTTTCATGTCACTCACATGAAAAATTTGGGGTCTGGCACACTGCTCTAGGTGAACTCCTCGAGAAAAGTCCTTTGGGCCGGTTTAATTACCCAAGTTTTAAGTCCTTTGATGCTTGTAGAGGAAAAGCGATCTGGTACACTTTGGTAGTTAAATTTAATGATATAATCGACTTTCCAAGGAGAATCTACCGTAAATAGAATCCCATCCGAATAATGGAACGGAGTGTCGCGTAGTCTAGCTTTGATCGCGTTTTTCTTGACCCTTTTTTAAGCTACAATTTGCGCTTAGAGATAAAAAAAAAAGCTGGCGTTCAGCGCTTATTTTGGAAAGAACGAGCTTCGAAAGAATGAAATACTAAACTTTTGCGACTACGCAACTGTACTAGAGTACTATTACAGTATTTATGGTATATTTTTTAATAACAACTATAGAAACCTTTACATTATTCATAGGAGCATTTTTTTCAGCTCAAAATGCAATATACCGTATTTTCTCTAATAGTAGTGCACCCAGAGCGTCGCCTAAATTCCTCGCAATCTCGAGAACCGCTTATCAGAACCTATCGATGTGGGATCGGAAAATGTAGCTGACGATGAGATCTAGTGGGGGATTAGAGGGTTGAGCTTCTGCAAAAGCTTTGAAACCGTCAAATAGTCATCAACTCGGCTCGGCGGAGTGCACTAATATTAAAGAAAATACGGTAATAATTCTACTTTTCCTTGAACAAGAGCAATACCGGTGAAAATCCAAAAACAAATTAGTCTTATTAGATTGAGTACTCTTTGTTTGTATCTGTTGCTCATCAGCTTTTTGGTTTCTTTAAACAAACGTTGGTTTGCTTGTATTAAATTGCTAAGAATTGCTAAGATTGCTAATAATTAAAAAGTGTGTTTAATTTTCGATATTTTAAGACAAATTTTGACTTATTATGATGCAAATTCGCGAAGAAATTATTCTCATTTATCTCTTAAAAAAGAAAAGAAAAAAAAAACAGTAGGACAAATAATTTTCTGATATAAATAAAACAATAAAAAGGCAAAATTTAAAGGCAATTTAATTGGTCTAATAATAGCATTTCTTAGCATAATTTATAAAGGATTACAAGCGAGTCCAATTAGCCCAATCAATTCAGATCATTGGCTGAAACTCAGTCAGCTGACAGGAGTGACAGAATAGCTGAATAGATAGTTACTTGCTTTTAAAATTCATTTACTTGAAAACTTTCTCCGTCCATCCACCCCCGCAACCATAGTTATCCCCAGTGCAATCCACGATTTGCTGGAAAGGAAAATCTTTTGCTCTGTACAGGAGTGGTCTGTACTAAATTGAAGTAAAGCAGACTGGAGTGCATTGCATTTTTGCGTTACATGCTTAGTTGACCATGGTACTGGTGATGTACTCTGAACTTTTTATTTTCTCTTTTTCTATTTAAAATAGATTTTTGTAGAAGAGAAAGGTTAAGGGGTTTATTTTGAAAGTTTGACTCTTGAAATTTGAAAGTTCGACTCTTAAAAGCAAAATAAGAGCTTTTAAAACACTTGAGAAGTATTTTGTAGAGAAGTGGTAGGGGTTTTTCAATAAAATAAATCGTCTTTTGTGTTTTGATTGATTTACTGTTTCTAAAACGGTTAATGAAGATAGCATACCAGCACGTTGAATTGAGTTTTGTCGATCAGAACTGAAGAATTGCTCGTGGTTTCAATCGAGTAACAAACTTTGAACTCAGCTGCTTCCCCTCTCTTTCTCTTCTCTTCCTCTCTCTCTCTCTTTCTCTTCTCTCTTTCTTTCTCTTCTCTTTCTCTCGCTCTCTTCCTCTCTCTCTTTCTTTCTCTTCTCTTTCTCTTTCTCTCTCTCTCTCTTCTTTTTCTCTCTCTTTCTTTCTCTTCTCTTTATCTCTCTCTTTCTCTCTCTCTTTCTTCTCTCTCTCTTTCTTTCTCTTTCTCTCTAGTATAACATGAAATAAACAGAATAATTGGTTCAACAATTATCAAATATTCGCAAGCGTCGATAGATTTTGAGCATTTGAACATAGCATTTGATCAAAAATCCACCAAACAGCTAAACATCTAAACTAAACAGCCAAAATGAGCTCAAAAATGAGCTGAATCATTAACATCTCCTTTCTAGTGCACTCAATGCTTACATTTTCTTATGATATCAAATCCCTACAAGAAAAGGAAGAAACTGTGCCTAGATTTTGTTTGTTAGCAAATCGATATTACGGTAGCGAATCGAAGCAAACTTCTAGAATCTATAGTTATAGAATCTACTGTAGCAAACTTCTAGAATCTATGAGAAATTGTGAAACATTCCAATTGAATACAATATAAAGAGAAAAAGAAAGCTTTTAAGCACAAAGTACACAATGTTTTTTTTTTTTTAGAATGTTTCGCTCAATTTTCTTCATCTTTACCTTCATTTTCTCTATCATCGCTCTTCAAATAAAGCTCGATTTGAAAGGTGTTCTCAAAGACGTTCTCAATGATCTAGAAACGCAGAACTTTGCAAATTATATGGCAAAGTGAGTTTGAAAAGATTTAACTTAAGAAGTTTTCGAGAAAAGAAAAGAAATGATTTTCAAGATGGAAGAAAAACTATAATGGAAACGAGACCGAGCTGAAGAGAAGGGCCAACATTTGGAAGCAAAATAAAGCCGATATTGATGCGGTTTGTTGGCGATTTTTGTTTTAAAACAATAAATGAATGATGAATTTATAGAATAGATTTAAAAAAATCTTTTATTAAAGTCAATTTGTTCAGGAAAACGCGATAGCTGATGGATACACATGTGGAGAGAATATGTTCACCGATATGGATAAGAAAGAGAGAAAAAATGTGTGTTGAAAGCTTGAAATTAATCTTTATAGTATTTCAAATCGTCTGGGAATGATAAAACTTTATTTTCAGTATGTGATGGATGCAAATCTTGCCGATCAAGCCGACGCGTCGATCAAGAAATTGGCAACGAGAGCGAAGAGGGGCGCACAAATGACGGTTGGAGGAGAATCTATAATATCTTTTTAATATTACCGTACTTTCGAGTACTGTACTATTATCTAATTATCGTAAATTTAGCTCTCGAATAGACCTACACTCTAATTCTTGACCTTACTGTAGTCTTAAGCCTTACAGTACCTGGGCAAATCTCAGCATAATGTATAAAGGATTCACCGAATCAAGTACTTCCCCTAAAGTACTCTGGCTACCGTAGTCTATGCTTTATATTCATTTCCTTATATTATTTAATAAACCTTACTGTAGCCTAAAAACAGAAATCGCAGCTATTCCATGAGTCTGGGTTACGGTAAGCGGCTCTGAAAAGACTACAGTACTAGACTTGTGTTTCGGTTGAACCGGAAACGTTCTTTTGGTTTGTTTTCGTTTTCGGTTTCGGTTAACCGAACCGAACCGAAAAAAAAGATTTTTCGGTTGAACGGAAACCGAACCGAACCGAAAAACTCATGTTTTCGGTTTAACCGAACCGAACCGAGAGACTCATCTTTTCGATTGAACCGAACCGAAAGATTTCGGTTGACTTGGGTTGAATCGTAACCGAAACCGATCCGAAAAGAGCCAACCGAAACACAAGTCTATACAGTACCCCCTAAAACCTCTCTAGACTACAGTAAACATGATCTGATTCTAAAGCATGATCTTTCTAAAGCATGATCTTTCTAAAAGCTTCCCTAAAAAACCTATCCTCTTTGCAGTACGTTGGTGAAACAATCGATTGGCGTCAACCTGCCTACATGCCACCAGTGAGAGATCAAGGACAATGCGGAAGTTGTTATGCATTTGCGTGAGTGAAACTAGATGAATTATTGAAAATTAAAGAGCCAACTATACTAGAAAAGATGCTTTTACTTGTTTAAGCACAAAATACACAAAGTATACATGTTTACAAGTGATTTTACAAGTCATTTCAGTGCTATCAACGCGATCGAGGTTCAATGGAACTGGCTTGGACACAGTTTGTCTCAATTTTCTGAACAGGTATCATTTTTTTATCTTAAATATTTTTATAAAGAATTTTCCAGCAAATTTATATTTTATTGAAAACTGAATAACTTTAATGTTTAAAGATACTTTTCAAGATCTGAAAAATTCGGCGCTTGGCCGTGTTTTGAGACCCTTTTTCCCTCGCACAAAACATGGCCGCATTAGCTCAGTTGGTAGAGCGTCAGACTTTTACGAATCGAAAGCGATCTGAATGTCAGGGGTTCGAGCCCCCTATGCGGCTAATTATTTTTGCATTTTTCAAAAAACAATTTAGAATAAGACTGATATAATGAAAGCTAAAAGAGAGCTAAATGAGAGCTAAAAGAAAGCTAAAAGAGCTAAAAAAGCTAAAGATTTTCCTTTCTAGCAAATCATCGACTGCTCTGGGACAAACAATGGTTGCAATGGTGGATGGCCGGAGAAAGTGTTCAAGTAAGAGAATTCTAGAACTAAAATTGGAATTCTACATAGTATTGTACCGTAAACGATGTTTTAGCTATTCCATTTACTATGGAAATGCTCCTCGTGCTTCGTATCCATACAAAGGCGTCAAAGGAACGTGCTATAATACGGTAGGGTTTCGAGAAAAGCTACAGTAGACATAATCAGTAGCTACACTAAGCTACAGTATCCCTACGGTTCTAGAGTACAGTACGCAAGTAAATAGCTACAGTGCGGATCTAAAAAGACTCATTCCAGGCAAGAACAATGACGGTCAGCACTTGGTATCAATTGACAACTGTCTCACAAATGGAATCATACAATTATTACTATGGAGCAGTGGCTTTCAGTGGGTTATAGAAAATCTGTCTTTAAAACTACGGTAGCTATTAGATGTGGGGATTTTCCCTGAACGTCAATAGGTAGTCAACGGAAAAATGCCATAGCTTTGCGAATTTCACTCTGATCTTTTTGATTTTGAGATCAATTGATGGAGGATTTCATTTTCTATCGATTGATATCAAAGAGAAAAAGATTAAAGTGAAATTCAGCAAAGATATGGCATTTTTTATGAAAATTGACGTTGACAATTCCCCAGATCTAGTAGCTAGAATAGAATAGAATAGCATAGCTAGATCGTGCTAAAGCTGAAATGAGTCTCTAGGCATTTACGTGCCAAACTCGATCTACTCGTACACGGGCGGGATCTTCTATCCAACGCAAAGCACTTGCACAAGCGCCAATAATGTCGGCGCTCATTCGATGACCATCGTTGGATACGGTAGGGTTTAACGTTTATTAGGAAAGCTTATTAGGAAAGCTGATTTAAAATAAAGTACTGTAGAGTAGACAGAAGGCTTACTGTACCTACATAAACAGCTTCTAGTGCTCTTTCTTCACTTTTCTTGAAAAAACAAGTCGTTACTTTGAGAAAAACGATAAAGCCAGTGCACCAGAAAGATGCGTTTACAAATTTTGAGCACAAAGTACACAAGCATCCATTTCAGTATCCAGTTTTAGGTGCTCAAAACGGTGTTCCTTATTGGATCGTACGGAACTCGTGGGGTGCGAGCTGGGGTGAAGGTGGATATTTCAGGGTAAGTCGAAAAAGATTATTGAAGAAATAGAAAGAGAAATATTGAATAGAAGCTTCAAATTCAGCTTTAAATTCAGCTTTAAATTCAGCTTCAAATCAAAATTTTCAGATGCGAAAGAGTGTGAACAATTGTGGAATGGAGTCACGCGGTGTTTTCTTCCCGTGGCTTATCGGAACACACTAAAAATAATAAAAAGAGACGGAAAAATAAATGTTTTGCTTGTATCAAACAAAATCGAAAGAAATCAAAAGAAAATCAGCGAAAATCAAAAAGAAAATCAAATGAAAATCAAAAAAGAATTGATCAAAATCATCAACTATAACTGTAATCTTTTATCAGTTTCACTAAAAAATAAAAACAAGTTTGAGAATTGGCAACGAGAGCGAAGAGAGGAGTACAAATGTGCGTTGAAGTAGAATCTATAAGATCTTTATAGCATTACCGCACTTGCGAGTACTGTACTATTATCTAATTATCGTAACTTTAGCTCTGTAATAGACCTATACTCTAATTCTAGATCTTACTGTAATCTTACAGCCGTAGAGGTTACAGTACCTGAGCACCGACTTCACCGAATCAAGTACTTTCCCTAAAGCCAGCTCTGGCTACCGTAATCAATGCTTTATATTCATTTCTTTATATTATTTAATAAAGCTTACTGTAGGATATATCCTAAAAACAGAAACCGTGGTTATTCCATCAGGCTGGGTTAGGGTACAGTGTAAATGACTACAGTACCCCTAAAACCTGTCTAGACTATAGTAAGCATGATCTGATTCTAAATGCAAATCTTGCCGGATCAAGCCGACGCGTCGATCAAGAAATTGGCAACGAGAGCGAAGTGGGGAGTACAAATGACGGTTGGAGGATAATCTATAAGATCTTTATAGTATTACCGTACTTTTGAGTACTGTACTTATTATCCAATTATCGTAAATTTAGCTCTGTAATAGACCTATTACTCTAAAATTTGAGAAAAATCATTGATTTTAATCCATTCGAAACCGCAGCGTTTTTTTTTTTCGTCTATGGACCAAGCCCTTTTGACATTTTTGACTCCGAAGCAGTTTTATTATGGTTGGAAGATGCAAGAGAGTCTCCTACACCATTTATTTTGATGAAGAACGATTTGGATTTGACTTCAGTACTTTTCAAGATCCTATAAATTATTTTAATTTTATCGACGACAAATTAATCAACATGTTAGTAGGCGAATCTAATAAACATGGAAAAAAGGAAAAAACTGACAGGATTTCGATGCAAGCTCTTCCTGGCTCTGTATCTTCAAATGGGAATCGTCAAATTACCGAAGATTCGTGACTACTGGAGTAGCAGGCCTGGATTAGGAGGATTTTCCCACATGTCCCACATTGTGTCAAGAGCAAAATTTGAATCTATTCTTCGAAACCTGCGTTTTTGGTGATAATGAACTGGATCCTGCAGGAGATCGGCTTTAAGATTAGAGCTATTATGGTACATTTCAATGCAAAACCAGAGACTGCATTGATTCCGGGTAAATATGAAACATCTTTTTTGCCCACGTAATTTGTAATTGGGTTGGGGAGAATGAGTCGGCGCCAAACTTTAAAGGGACTTTTGCACACATAAAGCCTTCTTTAAACATACGTTTGGTTTCATCAAAAGGGATCCACTATTTCTCTACAAAATCACTTTTGAGAGATTCCACAAAGCTTTTCTTTCGTGGAGTTTATGAACTTCGAAACGCAGCTGGTTAAAATGGCAAAGAGTCCGACTCATCATTTGAACAGTTTCTTTCACATAAACCTTCTTTGGTGTTTATATAAAAAAGATAGAGCACATTCAATTACTTAAGTTGCCAAATTTGCAGGAAGATCCCACCCAATGGTTTTTTCTAGATGACAGTTTGTAGTTTTTGTGAAAAAATGGCTTTTTCTTGAGCGGAGGCGCTGTTTGAATTTTCTTTTAAATGTCATTTTGTAGAGAATTAGTTAACCATTCTACTCATATCAAACGCATATTATTTGACGAAGTCGAATAGAAGTTTTAGACATTTTTTCATTTTCGGCGCCGACTCATTCTCCCCAACCCAATAGATCTGCTACAATTGGAATATACATGTAATGCTGAAAAAACAGCAAAAAGAGCAATACCACTTGAATGAAAATAGCTCAATTAGCGCTGCAGCGGAATAATCGCTGCAGCGGTCCGGTCCCTGAGTTTTCTGGTGCAAAGCGATTATTCGCTGAAGTTTCAACAGGGTTAAGCGAAATTTACATTTGATTTACTATCCAAGCAAAATATTCAGTGAAACGATTGACCTTGAAGTCCAAACGATGCGAAAAAAAGAGCATTCAACAGCAAGTTCATCCATTCATTCATTCAAATCCATTTTATTACATAGGAAGTCTCATTGTAAATCACTTAACTTTACGCCAAAGTTCCCATATTTGACTATAAAAGCTTCCAACTGCTTAGATGCTTACACTCTTGCTGGGTTGCATGGAGTTCATCTTATTTTCTGTCATTAAAAACAGCTTTGAAAGTTGGATTTCCGTAAAAGCCTAGTGTTTACTAGTGTTTAAGCATTCGAACGTCGTGTGAAAGTCATAAAATGGTTTTTATCAGCTTATTCAGTATCAGCTTTTATGTTTTTGTGGACTGATTAGGCAAAACTCTCGATAGTAAATCATTAAAAAGCACAGCTTTTGAAAAGTTAGTAAACTCTCCGATAGTAAATCAAAACGATAGTAAATCATTTTTCGAGCATCGCTTCCTGCCAGGATTCCACTATCTAGCGTCCACTAGTAAACCAATAATATCCAATAAAATTGAAGAAACTTTAATAAACTTTCTCCCACAAAAACTTTAAACTTCACCTTTTATCATTTTTAAATATTAGGTTGTCCAAAAATGATATGTGCGTTTTGTATTGTGTTTATTATTTGGGTACATTTTTCCTTAAATAAAGTATGCTCTGTACCTTGTAATGTTATCAACCATTAGAAAGCTGAGTTCGTGCTCTCTTTAACCATACTTTTTTAAATTCTGTAGAAATAAAATTTTTTCAGATCCCAAGCTTCGCCGTTTTAGATGTCCGAAACAACTTTCCTCAGATTTTTTTATGGGTTCAAACTCGGTCGCAATGCAGCTGAAACGGCTCGTAACATTAACGAAGTTTGGGGCCAAGCGTGTCGGCGAGTCAACAGTGCGAACTTGGTTCCGAAAATTTCGAGCTGGCGATTTTGATCTCGAAGATAAAGAAGTGCCGTGGCCGTCCCTCTTGAACTCGGTGACGACGAACTGAAGACCCTGACGGGAAGCAAATATACGAATCCACGTACGAATCCACGGCACGAATCCACGCTACGAATCCACGCACGAATCCACTTGCTCCGAATCCACGCAACAACCCATGCACCAATCCACGCACGAACCCACGAGACTTTACCTCACTCCGCGCATATTCACCGGATCTTTCGCCTACCGACTACCACTTTTCAAGCGACCTCACAACTTCTCCGGGAGAGATAGCTTCAAAACTCACCACTCAAGACCCTACCAAAAACGCGCTTCGCTGACTTATCGTTGCCAAAGCCCGGACTTCCATGCTACCGGCATAGAATCCAACTTCCATTCTCGTTGGCAAGAATGTCGGTAATGTGCTGGTTCACTTATCTTGACTGTACTAGAGTTTCCTGTTTGGACTCAGTTATGGGGATTTTAAATATCCGAGTTGAAAACGCTCATTTATTTCCGGACAACCAAATATATACTTCAAAACCAGCGCTGAAAACACAAAGTGAACTTGTCAATGTGGAAACATTTGCTCTCAGCTTCTTTGCTTCAAAATCTTTCAATCTTTCATTGAAAGTTCACTTAGAAGACACTAGACAACTATTTTTAGCTATCAAAACAGGTTAACAAAGTTCAAACCGCCATTGTTAGCTCAACATTTATTTAATCAAAGATTCAAACCAGGAAAAGGTATCGATTTTAAAACAATAAAACTGAAAGCATTTGTCAAAATTTATCAAAGGAATTTTGTTAAAAGAAAAGAACCACCATAATTACAATTATAATTACAAAAATAATTACAAAAAATATAAAAACAGCACTTTTGTAAGCTAGATGAGATAAAGCCTCTTTATTTTGTTGCCATTTTTGACAGTTTCATTTGTCCCACTCTCCTTGTGAACGAGTTTCGCGTGGGGTTTCCCGTAGCTCCGGTTAGCTCAGTCGTGAGAGCACCAGACTCTTAATCTGGCTGTCGCGGCCCGAGCCCCGTATCGGGCTTTATATTTTGACATTTTGTGAAACCATTGGCTTTTAAGCCTTCGCTGGTTTTTGCACCTATAGTCAAAATTATTATAGTTTGGAATTTATTATCTTTATTACCGCTAGATTTGCCATTATTCCTTCCTCATTCATTACTACATTATTCATCCCTTCAAACATGGATGTTGTTGTTGACGAAAAGGTTCTTTATTTTTTTGGCTTGCCGCCATTTTTTGACACTTTAATGCGTTTTACATTCTATGTCTCCACTCTCCTGAGTAAACGCTTCCAAAAGATTCGGTCATAGCCCGGTTAGGCTCAGTCGGTAGAGCACCAGACTCCCCTAATTCACGTCGCGGGTTCGAGCCCCGCATCGGGCTGGTAGTGGCCTGAAATTTTGCAACTGAAACCAATAATTATTTTCAATTCAATAGTCGTTATAATTTGATGTTATTTAGGAAACGATTTTTTTCTTATTCTTCTTGATCGGTCGCCTGGCTTACTAAAATTTGTTAGACTTTGATTTTGTAACATTCATGGAAGTAAGCTCAAAAGGTAATAAACAGGAATGGGATTTGTGGCCGCCAAAAAACAGTTGGGGACAGTTGAGGTTTCATTCAAAAATTGCTTTGTACGTGTTAATGTAAATTGGTATAAAAGTGAGCAGAAAAATCAAGAATCTGAATTGAATTCTTTCGAACATTACAAAAGTCTTGAATTTGTTCCGATCGGGACGATTTGGAAAGTTGCTCGCCGAAAAGTTGAGACTTATTCTTTCGCTTTGTAAACGCATTCTTTCTAGCGCACTGAACCTCATTCTCTTCCGTTTCTACAAGAAAAATGAAGCAAATCTCGTGCACGGGATTTGTGTTTGCAAGATTGAGCTTAAAGTAGCAAATCTAGAATACTGTAAACATAGGAGC